AATCCCCCAGCACCACATGCCAGCCAGCCCCACCCCCTGGTGGGCTGAGCTGGCCACACACACACACACACACACACACACATAAATAAATAAATTTAATTTTAAAAAAACAAACAATGAATGAGCTCACTGGGTTCAATCTCCAGTACTAAAGTGTTACCAAGGAAAAGTAGATTCCACAGTGATTTTCTAGATGCAACAAACACTGATGTGTATGTGTCCTTAACTGCTGCAGATGAGGTACTTCGGGGTAGAGTGCTTGAAGGGTGACCCATGCTAGGCACTCAGAAGACCTTTCCCTTATTAGAAATTTTAGATTTTGTGTTTTGATACAATGCACTTGTTGTTGTTCAAATGATACATGTATTTCTTTCCCGATTCCAAGAGTGAACAAAGGACATTGATGAAAATAATGACTAAGGAAAACTTTAGTCTTTGATATGAGAGCTATTTAAATTAGAAATCATGTCCAGTGTCACCCGGATGCCTGAAGAGATTCCTAATCTTCTTATGAGAAAAGCCCTATCTATGCAGAGGTACCTTTTTTTAAAAAAGTATTCTATCCTGAAAGCATGTATAATGCAGCTGCAGTGGAAATTGACCAATGAGACATGGGATCTACCTTCAAGATGTTTCTATTTCAGTAGGGAGACAGACAAGTAGATCAATAGTTGCGTGAAGGGTGAATAGCGTGAGAGAAGCTGCTAGTTAAGGAAGCTCAAAGGAGTCCCCTTTCCCCCCCTCCTACAAGGAAGAGGTGGACGAGTTGAATCTTAAAATATAGAGTTCATCTGGCTAGATGGGGAGGGAAAAACTGACTACTGACAGAAGTTATGCTGCTGAGCTATCTTCCTGGCCTGCTCCTGTCAGAAGTTAGGATGTGACCCTTTTAATCAGCATCAAGCTTTCAAGTTTTGTCTATGGTTTGTACCACTTATTAGCAGTTTATTCCCCCTTTGGCCAAATGATATTCCTTTATACAGATACACATCATATTTATCCATTCTTCAGCTGATGGGATAGTGTCTAAGTTACTTTTCTCATTGCTGAGACAAAGCACCCAACACCCAAAGTTAAAGGAGGAAAGGTTTATTTATCTCACAGTTTGCAGAGGTTTCAGCCAATATTGGCTGGCTCCAAGGCAGGATACTATGGCAGACAGGCATCACAGAGGAAAAACAGTTTATGGCAGGTGTAAGGCAGCAAAGCAAGCAAGGGACAAGACAAGCCTATTTATTTATTTATTTATTTATTTTTGTATTTAGTACAGGGTCTACAAGGTCTCACTACAATCAAACTAGCAGTGATTCTCCTGTTTTCAGTCTCCCAAGCTCTGGGATTATAGGTGTGCGCCACCATGCCCAGTCTCAGTTGTGTCTCAGCATGCCCCGGGGGCGGGGCCGGTAAGGCACGCTGGGGATTGAACCCTGGCTGCTGGGTCTGCCTCAGCAGGTGTTTTAGTCTTCCTGGCTGGCCCTTTAAAAAAAATTTTTTTTGAGTCATATATATATATTTGTACTAGGGATCAAGCAGGGGAGATGGCCCAGTAGAATAAGCGCTTCCCTGGCAAGCACAAGGGTCTGAGTTCAATCCTTTGCTCTGCAAAAACAACAACAACAAACCCCAGAAATGTAGGGATCAAACTCAGGACCTTGCGCTTGCCAGGCAGGTCCTTTATACCATTGAACTATCTCCCTGGACTCTCTTTCTATCCCTTATGTTGTATACAACCAGGCTACCAGGACTAGGGTGGTGCCAAACCAATCAGTGGACTGATTTAGAAAACACCCACCCCGAATCCTAGCACCCTTAATCTTAGCACCGTACCATGCACTAATCTCAGCATTATACACTCTAGATCCAGCCACCCCTGAAAAAGCTCCACCTATGACTCTATGAGGCGTTGGGGGGAAAGACATACACGCAAGCCATAAAAGAGAAACTCTTTTAGAATGAAATGCTCATCCAAAGAGAAGCATTGAAGAAAAAAAAAAAAAAAAATCACATCAGTACAAATTCAGGACCAAGCACGAGACAAATTTTCTTTAATGTGGAAGGAGGGAATGACTCCATCTCAGTCCAGGAATGGCCCTTCCCAGACCTAACAGCCTCGTAGGTACGGAAGGCTCCAAATACAGTCAACCGCCGCCTTCTAGAAGCTGACTTCAATCTCTCCGTCGGTTTTTAGTTAGAATACCTTCCTATTTAGGTAGAATATTTTCACATCTCCACAAAACACTCAACTTCCACCATGCGTATATTTCTTCTTGTACTGCAGTGGTGAGCAGAGAACGGAGTACCAACTTTGCAATCAGACAGTTCTAAATAGTTTCACCACTTATCTCCACTTCTCCCAGAGGACATTATCTACTGGCTTCGGGATTGTTGCTTTTCGGTCATTTTTAGTCTCTTCCTTCACAGTCTCTTAGCATTTTTATGTAAGTGTCCACTACCGAATTCCCAGTGTTTAGAATTTAGAAAGGAGGTCAGCATCCAGAAAGTTGCAGATTCGAATTCCAGGCCTATGTACGGCACCTTTTCATCTGTAAAACAGTTTAAAATATCCACTTTATAAAGTTGTTCTAAAATGTTTTCTACTACAGGTTTTTACGTTTTTTGGGGTTTTTTTTGGCCAAACCAGGGATTGAACTCAGGCCCTTGCGCTTAGCCAAGCAAGCGCTTTTTCTACTGAGCCATCTCCCCAGCCCCTCTACTATAGTTCTTAATATATGGATGGTACTTAAAAAGTCATGCATTACTACAACAAGAAATGGCTTTCTCCTCCAGGCAGTTCTGGTATTGAAGCGGTCGGACCTTCCAACGCCAGTCCTACCCGAGTCCCCAGTACCCGGCCGCCCTCCCCTCCCCGGCAGGGAGCGCGCCCTAACCCGGAACTGACGTCACACGCAGCGGACGCCGCCAAGGCGCGTCCCGGAAGGAGCGGTTTGCGGCGGCTGAGCCAGTGAGTGAAATCGGCGCCGCCCGCTGGCTGCAGGCTGGGCTGAGCCCGTGTCCCTGCACCTGTGCTTTAGGGCTCTCTGAAGGAAGGAGGGCGACGGTGTGCGGCCGCTCTGCGCTCCGTCGCATGTGTGTTCCCCGCCTCGCGCCTCCCCCTCCCCCGCCGCCCGAAGCCCTGCGTGGGCTGGGCGCGCCACATCCCCGCGTTAGCTTCTTGGGGCGCGCAGACGGGTTAGCTTCCCTGGCCTGGCCACCCGCCCCGGCTCTGTCGCCCCGCCACCGCAGCGGTGAGCGCCCGGTCCGCCGTTCTTCCGCTGCCACCGCTGCCGGCACCATGGGCAGCGAGCAGAGCTCCGAGGCCGAGACCCGACCCAACGATCTGAACTCCTCAGGTCGGTGTCCTAACCTCCCACCCTCCTGCAGCCCGTCTGCTTGGGGAGCGGGCTGCCTCCTGGCTTGCCGGGGTCTGGACGCCGGCGGCGACCTATGCAAACCCTCACGTGCTTTAAAAGGAAAAGTGTCCAGACCTTGATTCCCCTAAGTCTCCCTGTGCGCCCATGCCCATTATTGGTTTCCAAAACAGCCATCTCTTCCCCTCTGCAGTCTTAATCCTTGAAAGACGACTTAATTTTTGGCAAATTATGACTGAAGTACTGAGGTGTGGCAGACACAGTGGGTGGCTCTTAGGACTTTCAGAACAGGCTTTCTCTAAAAGCAGGCTTTCTCGGGTTTTAGAGGGGATGTGTGTTTGCTGTACAAGCACCCTGAACATTTGCATGCAAGTGTTTCCAGAAACTGCTTTTTCCCCTCGGGTGTCTTGGGCCCATTTTAAGTACAGTCTGGCCAGATGGCATGCTCTGGGATTTTTTTGCTTTCTCCCCATCCGTTTTTTTTTTTTTTTTTTTTTTTTTTTAGAAGACGGCATACGAGATGTTGCGGCGTGACTGGAGTTCAGACGTGTGCTCTTCCGATCCCTGAAGTTCCAGCCTCCCACTCCCAGTTTTTCTAGAAAACAAATGGAATATATTTTTTTTTTTTTTTTTTTTTTTTTTTTTTAGATTCCCTTCAGGGCTTCAGAGAATGGGAGTGTTATTGTGCTGGGAATATGGTGAATGCTTAGTGAAACAGCTAGTGTTTGAGGTCCATTTGCTCCTTTTGTTACTCTAGGACAGCTCAAAATGCCCTGCATAAATCCCTAAGTTGCATTCAGATTGGTTCTTAGAACTGCTCTGTGCTTAGAAGAGTTTGTCTTTGGTTAAATTGGGTTTAGAAAGAAGCCCCTGTGGGCCAGGTGTGATTGTACATACCTGTCTACTCAGCACTGGGGAGCCTAAGGCAGGAAGCTTAATGAGTTTAAGCCCAGTTCCGTAGTGAGTTCAAGGCCGTCCTGAACTGCCTAGTGAGACCCTATCTAAAAAAAGAAAAGAAAGAACCCCTGGCCTTAGAACTGCTCTGTGGGTAAAATTAGGTATTCAAATATGTGGAAGCTAGAAGTTCTAGGAGTGAGTCATAAGGAAAAGTGGTCTCCTTCAGGAGACAAATTAGTACCCTTTTGGGGCTAGTCTGATAACCTTTTCTGGTGAGGAGTATCAGCTAGCTTAGATACATTCTCTTTTTTTCCTTGAAAGGACCGGAATACTATACGTTTTGTAACAAATATAACAATGGCTACCTCTTATATTTTCCCTATATTTCAGGCTAGACCATTGTTTGGGGCTAGAGGTGTGGGTTTTTTAATGCTTGCTTGGCTGTGAACCAGCAGCATAGGCTTGTATCTGGCGTTAAGGTTTACCTGCTCCTCTGTACTGGGTGCTTTGAATATAGGTATTTATATTTAATCTTCATATACTGCCACTTTTGGGTAGGAAAATGGAGGCTAGCCAGAATGCGGTAAAGCCCCTTTTTCTCCAGTGTTGGGGAAAGAGAAATCACAAGTTGTAGCAGGAAAGATTTTTGGCATCTCTATCGCAAAACAGTGAATAAATTACCAAAAGAGGTTAAGGAATCGTACTTGAAATGTAGTAACAATAGCAGAGATTTCTGTAAAAGAGTGACTGCCAAGCCTTAGGAAGCTAGCTTCCAGAAGGCAGTACTGCTCTGTGGCATCTGTGGACCAGCCTTTGAGATGCAACTGTGATGGGCCTGAGACTACTACCTTCTAAAGCAGTGATGGCGAACCTTTTAGAGCTTTTAGTGATACAGGCAATGGGCTGCAGTTGGTTGGACGCCACTGTCTTATGAAACACTGAGGATCCATTGTTGCTCTAAACCTACAGGGTATTTGGGGAGGAGCACATCTTGATCTAGGAACTCTTTTATGGCTTCAATTGCTTATTTCCAAATGGATTGGTTATATTTTTCCAGAGAATCTGAAATTCACTGAACCCCCCCCCCCTTACCTGGGATTGAACTCAGACCCTTGCGCTTGCCAGGGAAGCACTTACTCCACTGAGCCATCTCCCTGGCTGTGACTTAACCTCTTGTAATCCTCCAAAGTTTTGAATTGTGCCTTAACCAAGAATAGTCCCCCTCCTTTTTTTTTTTGCTTTTAGAATAATGCTATACTTTTAGAGAGCTCTGGGGCTTCAAAAATAGACCCATTATCTAGAGTTAAAACAGAGTTCCCTGACCTAGCCAGCCACAGTGATGGGTTTTGTGCATCAACAACCCATAGGCCTCCACTTCCTTCCCTAATTATAGCACTGTTAACATAGGGAAAGACACAGCCAAATTTTGTATCTTTGTTTCTTCATTTGTAAAATAGGAATATATGTCAGGAGGCAGGAAATCAAAGGAGAAGAAACACAATTTGTGTATCCTTTTGTATATGAATTATAGAAAATATTTAGTTATGAAAGAGTTCAGATATATTAGATGTTCCAGTACTGTTAAGATTTTTTTTAAGACTGGGTGTGGTGTTGCATGTCTATAATCCCAGCACTTGGGAGCCTGAAAAACAGGAAGGATCACTGCAAGTCCAATCTGTGTAGTGAGACCCTGTAGACCCTGTACTAAATACATATTAAAAAAAATAATTTTAGTGCCACTGAAAATAGAGGCCTCCCATGATTTATCTACCCAGCCCACACCACAAAATAACATTTTATTGTGTAAAAATAATCTTTTTGAAAGAATAAAAATTTTCACACATTTTGACCACAAAATAACAATTCTTTTTAATGAAAAGAAAACACCTTTACTGAGACAGAGGTGGCTAAGATGCAACTTCTCACCAATGTAACTTTATTTTCAGTGACTCCTTCCCCAGCTAAGCATAGAGCCAAGATGGATGATATTGTGGTTGTAGCTCAAGGCTCTCAAGCCTCACGGAATGTCAGCAATGATCCAGATGTCATCAAGTTACAAGAGATCCCAACCTTCCAGCCCCTTTTGAAAGGTAAGGATTTGCATTTTTGTTTTATCTGAACCTGCTGGAGAGATTTATGTGGTCCTTCTAGTCTCTTCACATAGCTACGTACCTTACTCTTTCCTGTCTTCCTTCAAGGCCATCTCCATGAAAACTGTGTTGTATCTAAATTTGTTTATTTTTTACTTTTTATTTTATTGATATATAATGATAATGTTCATCATAGGGAGTTTGTTACCTGTACATGATGTATCTTGCTGCTTTTTTATCCCATCCCCCTCATTGTGAGGTTTTGCCTCTGGTGCCAAAGAGAAGCAAAGAAACCTTTACAGCTGCTTGCAGAAGAGAAGCAGGAGGAAGGATCCTCCCTTGGGGGAGAGACCAGGGACGGGGTGGTGGTGGTGGGTATTTGTGGGGTTGGCCTAGAGGTGGGATTTACATGGGTGGTATGGGTGTCCTAGGGGATAATTGAGGAAGGATTGGCATGCACGAAAAACAAAAGGGGAAGTTTGAGGTTTGCCAGAAGAAGACTGAAGTTAGCTTAGTTCCTCTTTGGTCTTGGATCCCAACACCTCACTGACTCCCCACCATGGTGACCCAGCAGACCTTTCATATGAGTGCAGACCCACCACTCACCTCCCTTCATCCCTCTTGTTTGTAAAAGCTTTGTTTCTGTTTTTTCCTTCTCTTCTTTTTCTTTGCTTGTCCCTTTTTCCTTTCTCCCTCTCCCCTCTCTTTACCCCTGTACCCCTTATCATTTGAACATTTTCTTCTCATTTCCCATTATACATTACACATTTTGATTCTTATTATACTTTCAGTTTCTTATACCTGAGAAACCATAAGATATTTGAACATGTGTGTCCAATTTATTTCACTTAAGAGTGTGGACTCAAGGTGCATCCATTTACCTTGAGATATGTCTCAAGCTTATCTTTATGACAGAGTAGTACTCCATTGTATTTTAAAAAAAAAACCCACGTCTTCTTTATCCATTCATCAGTTGACAGGCATTTGTGCTGTTTCCAAGATTTGGTGCTGTGATAAACATTGGTGTGCATGTATTGCTGTGATATATGATGCTTTTAATTCTTTTGGGAAGCGACACAGAAAGGGAATAGATGTATCATATGGAACCCCTAGTTTTAGTTTTTTGAGGAATCTCCACACTAATTTCCACAGTGCTTGTGCCAGTCTACACTCCCACCAGCAGTAGAGAAGGGTTCCTTTTTCATTACAACCCCGCCAGTGTTTGGTATTGGTTGAGTTCTTGATACTATCCATTCTTTCCAGGGTGAGATGGAATCTCAGGGTTTTAATTTACATCTCTTCAGTGACCAGTGATGTTGAACATTTTTTCATATATTTATTTGCTGTTCATATTTCTTCATCTGAGAAATGTATATTCATCCCATGCCCATTTTTGGATTGGGTCTTTAAATTTGGGAGGTCTGATTTTTTTAGTTCTTTATAGGTTCTTGATAGTAATCCTTTGAGGAACAGCTGGAAAACATTTTTTCTTACATTATGGGTTGTGTCTTCACTCTCTTGGTGGTTTTTCTTGCTATGCAAAAGCTTTTTTTAATTTTTAAAATTTAAAAAATTTATTTTTTTATGTGCAAAAGCTTTTTAATAAGATTCCAGTTGTTGGTTCTTTTTGATAGTTCCAGTGCGATCGGAGTTTTATTCATAAAATCTTTGCCTACACCAATGTCCTCAAGAGTTTTACCTATTCTGTCTTCCAGCAGATTTAATGTTTCTGTCTTAATGCTTAGATCGTTGATCTATTTCAAATTTAGTTTAGTGCATGGTGAAAGATATGAGTCCAATTGCATTTACTTATAAAAATCTTTTTATTTATTTATTTGGTACAGGGTCTATCTCACCCTCCCTAGTAGCTGGGATTACAGGTGTGCATCACCATGCCTGGTTTTGGGACTGGCACAGCACACCCAGGGTTCCAGGGCCAGCATGGCATGTGGTACCAGGGATTGAACCCGGGTCTTTGTGCTTAGACCACTGAGCTATCTCCTCAGCCTCCAGTTTTAATCTTAGGCATGTGGAAAGCCAGCTTTTGTAGTACCATTTATTAAAGAGGCTATCTTTTTCCCATTGAAGGTATTGTTCCCAATGAACAATATTTCATTGTTGATATTTTGTGTAATCTATTTTTGACAGTGGGATATTGAGGTTCCCCATTACAATTCTGTTAGTGCTTGTTTGATTTTTCATGTCCATTAAGATGTGCTTTATACAGTTCTGTGTACTGGTATTTGATGCATATATATATATATATATATATTTATTTATTTTTATTTTCTTTTATTTTTAGCCTTCTTCTTGGATTGTTCCATTTACAAGGATGTAGTGACTTTCTTTGTCTCTCTTCATCAGTCTTGGCTTGAAATCCACTTTGTCTGCAAATAGAGTAGCTATCCCAGTTTGTTTCCAGATTCCTGTCACATGGAGTATTGGTTTTCATCCTTTGATATTCAGTCTATGAATTTCTTTTTAAATTGAATATGTTTCTTGTATATACCATAGTTTTGATCTTTCTTGTTCCATTTTGCTACTCTGTGTCTTTTGTTTGGTGAATTGAGACCACTAACATTGACAGCTGTAACTTATGTGTTGACTTACCTTTGTTATGTTACTTTCCACATTGGTTCCTTTTTCCCCCCACATCTCTTTAATTGGTTGTGTTCCCTGGTAGATTCATTCCATGGGGGTTCACAGAGTTGTAGTCCTCATTCTGTCTTTCTAGAATGCCCTTCACAACAGTTTAGAGTGCTAGTTTGGTGGTCATGAATTTCCTTATGTGTTCTTTGTCATGGAAGTATCTTACTTCTCTGTCAATTTTGAAAGATACTTTTGGGAGTATGTCAATCTGAGTTGGAAGTTTTCTTTTAGAGCTTGAAATATTTCACTCCAAGCTCTCCTTTTTATGTATATAGGTATGTATTTATTTATTTTTGCGGAACCAAGGATTGAACTGAGGCCCTTGTCCAAGCTCTCCTTGACTTGTGAGTTTGTGCTGAGAAGTTTGCTGTGATTAGGTGATTTGTTTCTTTTCTTTAAAAATAGCTTTTAAGGGGCTGGGGAGATGGCTCAGTGGAGTAAGTGCTTCCCTGGCAAGCGCAAGGACCTGAGTTCAATCCCCGGTTCCGCAAAAAAAAAAAAAAAAAAAAGTCCTAAAAATAGCTTTTAATATCCTATTGGATTTTTGGAATCTTGACTATTTTATGCCTTGGTGCTACATATGCCTTGGAGTATTATATGCCGCGACAATTATATGCCTTGGTGCCTTGGTCCAAGATAGCATGTTTTGAGGTAGTTTATATAAAGGGCATAATTTATTTTCATATCTCTTTTAAGGGTGGAGATAATTTCCTATTAAGTAAACAGTAGTTCTGCTGTTAAGAGTGCCTCGTCTGTCCCACACCTGCATGCACACCCCCAAATTAGGAAATAATGAACATGAAGTCCAAGTACTTAACTTGTGTTGATTCATTTTCTGTTGTTATTACTGAATATCACAGATTAGGTAATTTAGAAAGAAAAGAAGTTCATTTGCCTTACGCTTACGGAAGTCCAAGCACATGGCACACACACCTTCTTGGCATCTGGTGAGGACCTTCCTGCTAGGTCATGACATGGGACAGAATAGCACGTGACAAGATGAAGCAAGCTTACTAACTTGGTCCGTCTCATATTTCTAGTAATGTAATCATGGGGCCCCAGGATCATGACCTTATCTAATGCTAATTCTCTCTGAAAGACCTCAAGTGCCATTAGCATATCACATTGGGGATTGTATTTCAACATGAGTTTTGCAGGGGACAAAGCCCCAGGCAGCAGTAACCTGTTGTAATGTGACATAAAACGTCATATAATTACAGGGCTATTTGTATTAAAAAGCTCCTCCACCCCACCCATATAGTCAGACATATATCATCCCTTTAATTCTTACATCATTAAATGTATTTGAATCATATGTTCAAATGTGTTTGAATGACAGTGGCAGGTAGAAATTGAACTTGAACCTTCTTCATTGATGTCAGATCCTATTATTGTACACTATTTCACAGTGAACTTAACAAAAACAAATGGTGCTTTTTGATAATCCATACATTATCATATTCTTCCCAGGGCTTCATCTGGTTTACAGATGAGGATAAATACATGCTTTCAAGCTCTTTCCCCAGCTTCAGGGTTAGACTGTGGTAAGTGCTCTGACTTACATAAACCAACTCATTGCATCCTATTACCCTTCTTAATTAGTTTTCATTATTATGAGGAATAATGTGATTCTCCAAAGAAACAAACATTAATGACATTTCCATCTCTACATCCTTTCATAATCGAATTAAAAGACAGCCTTTATTTTTAGAACTTGGAATTCGACATGGTACAGCCACACTTTGCAAGTCCTTTCTGTGACCTATCCTCTCACCTCCCAAACTCTTCTAGTCCTGGATCAGGACTTCCTTTTTTGACCAGTTCTTACCTTCATTGTAGGGAAATACTAAAAATAAAACTTTGAGATATTCTTAATAATTTTCTGGGATTAGTGTTTTACTCATTTGAAATTATTCATAGTTAATGAAGAAAAGGGATCAGTAGAAGTAGACTAAAGGAGGATAATGTACTTAGTAATTTCCTGGGATTAGTTTTTTATTCATTTGAAATTTATAGTTTATATAGAAAAGGGATCAGTAGATTAAAGGTGAATAATACACTATATGTAATTAATGAAATGCAGTGTGATGCAGCTAAACTTGGTTGCATTGATAGTTTTTGGATTTTTATTGTATTTCATTTTCAATTTTTAAAAAAAAATTATTTATTTATTGGTGGAACTGGGGATTGAACTCAGGCCCTGGCACTTGCCAAGGAAGCGCTTATTCCACTGAGCCATCTCCCCGGCCCCTTTATATATATATTTTTGATACAGGGTCTTGCTATGCAGTTTGGACTCATAGTGATCCTTGTTTGTTAGCTTCCCAAGTGCTGGGATTGCAGGTATGCAC